CGGATTTACCGCAGCCTGCCGAGCGCAGCCGAGGCGAGCCGAGGCGAGCCGAGACCGCGCACAGCCCCTCCCGCTGTTCGCCTGCGCGCGTCTAGAGGCGCGCCAGCTCGCCCTCTGCGAGAGAGGAGGAGCTATTGCACCCACCCCCGCGCGGCGCGCTTTGCAAACGCTAAAACTGCCCGCGGCCCGGCCGCTGCCGCCGCCGCCGCCGCGCTGGGGGCTTTCTCGGGGCGCTCACCCCTTGGCTCCAGTCTGTGTGAGACCCCCTGGATCAAGCGCGTCCTGAATCCCCGCTGCGCTCGTCCTGACTTAGGGAGGGGAAACTGCGGCAGAGCGCGGCTGTATAGCGTGGTGAAGGATGGCGCAGATTCTCTGCCGATGCGGGCCAGAAGGAAATAAAAAAAGAACCTTTTTTCTCCCCCTGATGTTTCTTGAGAAGTCAGCGTTGGGAAGCGAGTGTTGCAATGTTGGACATATGTGAAGGAGATGAGAGATAGGGTAATATAGACAGCCCTGGAGCGTGTGAGACGAGGTGGCCGAGTGGTTAAGGCGATGGACTGCTAATCCATTGTGCTTTGCACGCGTGGGTTCGAATCCCATCCTCGTCGGCCCCGTTTTATAGTGGGGAAAGCTACCTCAATTTTACACATCCCGGCTGTCTGTAGCAGGAAGAAAAAACGGAACCCAGGGAGTAAGTGGAATTTGGTCAGTTTCTGTTCTCTTGTTCATCGTCTAGGTATCTGAATCTCTGAGAAGAGGTCAAGGTGTACTTTTATCTCTCCCAAAGAAGAGAATCCAGGGGTGCCACTGCCAACCTGGAAGGAGTCCCCACAGCGCTGGAAGTACTGAGTTATTGTCTGAAAGTATTTGTGTACATGTCCTACATGGCTCTCTGGGGTTTGTGGAGCTAGTTTTCTGGGGAAGCATGGCAGGCAGTATATGGTCTCTGAAACTGGAATTTGATACTGCTGTATTTTCTTTCTTTTTTGGAAAGGTTTTTGCTATAGGGCGCGTGCGCTCGCCAGAGACAGAGACAGAGAGGCAGAAAGCGAGAAATCACCTCCAAGGGGGATGGCCACGCCACAATCCCTTCTCCTCCATTCTCCTCTAGGAATCTTGGGCACACACGCTCATGCGCTCGGCGTGAGTTTAAGCCACCAGGTCCGGGACTCGGACCGCCGTCGACTACATGGGAGTCCAGCAACATAGCCATTACGCCAACTGCTGGTCCCGCTATACTGTTGTATTTTCTTGAGCAAGGTTTTTTTTTTTTTTTTTTTTTTCTTTATAATAACATTTTAAAAAAATAGATGTGAGGGCTAGCCTGTGGTGTGGTGGTTTCGGTTCCTGGGTCCCACATGGATGAATGTTGGGTTTGGGTCCCAGACCCAACAGCTTGAGAAACACACTGTGTATGTGCATGCATGCC